TTCGTTGCAGTGGTAATCGCTCTACGCTACCAAACGTTTGTGCGCAACCTGCCAACTGCGGAGCTGGCTTTGGCGATCCGGTTGTCCATCTCTGTATCAATAGTCACAGCTCTGGAAAGAGTTCTCCCTAAATATGTGAATTTGTCAACTGTCTGCAGACGCTGTCCATTCACCAGTAAGGTAGGCTCAGTGTAGTGTGTAAGAGGAGAAGGCTGATGCATTCCAATCCTTCTGGACTGAAGGATTGGAAGCGGTCAGTGAGCTTCTGGATAAATGTGGGACCACCAACTTTATATATCTCGGATGGAAGAGCATCTGCACCAGGGGCTTTGCAACTACAGAGCTTGCTTATTGCCTCTCTGACTTCTGATTCAATAGGTGGAACATCCATGGTCGTGTTAACGTTGACATGGGGCAATCTGTCTATTGCGTCATCATTGATGGAAGAAGGACGGTGGAGGAGAGCTTCAAAATGTTCAGCCCACCTATGCAAGATCTTTTTCCTCTCGGTAATGAGTGTAGTCCCATCTGTGCTCAAGAGAGGGGAATTTCCTGACGATCGAGGTCCATATATGGTGTTGAGACTTTCATAAATCCGCTTTGTATCATTTCTTTCGGCATAGGCTTGAATTTTATTAGCCTTAGCACTGAGCCAGGAATCTCTAATCACCCGCAGCTTACTCTAAACTGTTCTCCGTGAACTGACAAAGGCATTCTTCTTGTAGACTGAAGTTGGATCATCTTGGTAAGCACGATGAAGTCTTTGCTTTTCATCAAGTAAGGCCTGAATCTCCTCATCATTCTCATCAAACAAATCATGCTGATATCGGGTATGGTAGCCCAACACTTGCACTGCAGTTGAGTGAACTGTGCCCCAAAAGTATTCCCAGTCTTCTTCGACGTTACCTCTAGGATTGAAGTTGGCATTTTGGGATTCTAGGTCTGTTGATAGAGCTGCACTTGTTTGACGGTTTTTCAGTTTGGCAACATTTATCCTCTTTTTTGTCATGCATCCCTGTGGACGTCTCTTTGGTATGCTGCAGATATTCATTTTGGAGATGATGAGTCTGTGGTCGGTCCAGCACTCTGCACAACACATGACCTTGGTAATTCTGACATCCTGTCTGTATTTCTTCCTGACAATGAGGTAGTCGATGAGATGCCATTGTTTCGATCGGGGATGCATCCATGATGTTTTGTTCCTGTTGGGCAGCCGGAATATTGTGTTGGTTATAAGGGGACCATACGATGAGCATAACTCCAGCAGGCGCAGGCCATTGCTGTTGCACTTGCCTACCCTACACTTTCCAATGACTCCATCCCAGGCGGCAGAATCACGGCCTACCCTTGAGTTGAAATCCCCAAGTAGGATCAACTTATCAATACTGCACACGGATGAAAGCATAGTATCCAGATCTACGTAGAATGACAAATCCTGAAGATGACTTTCACATCTTCAGGATTTGTCATTGTAGGTGCACAGGCACAGATGGGTGCGGCCCGTTTACCATCATGTAGATGAATCTGCATTGACATGAGACGATCGTTTGTACCTTTAGGGAGATTGGCAAGCTTTTGGACAAGATGGTTCCTGATGGCAAAACCTACCCCAGACTCCCGGCGCTCATCGGCAGAACGGCCACTCCAGAAGAATTTGTAGCCACCTCCATATTCAGTCAGTTGCCTCTCATTACCGAAATGAGTCTCACTCAGTGCTGCAATTTCGATGTTATATCTTGCAAGTTATTTGGCAATTAGGGCAGTTTTCCTCTCTGGTCTTCCTATGCCTAAGGTTATCGGTGTCACCTTAATTTTTTTCTTTCCTTTATTTCGACCGCAGGTGTGGGATTCCCGCCAACCACGGCTTGATGGCCAGGATGTAGGTTGAAGCAGGCTTTTTTAGGAGACCTTTTCTAGTCCCTTCCTCATGTGAGGTGAGCAGTGTATCCCTAAAGAGGGCTGCTCAGACACACAGGTAGACGTCGAGCTCACTGCTGCTTCAGTCTGTACGAAAGCGACCATTAGACCTGGGCCGCCTGTGTGCAGGTTTGCAACTACAGCTCCCAGTGTATCCATACCTGCTGTTTCGTCGCTCGCCAATTAAAACAGGGCTTAAAGCTTAGCTTTTAGGTTAGGTGGTGTTGTCAAGACGTATGCAAGAATTTATTATAGTAAGGAAAAGCTGGCAGACATCAACCTCACTCTTCTCTGAAATCACATGGATCCAGTGGCAAGACAGTGTCGAGACGACTGGTGGTGACCTCAGATGCAGGGAGTATTCGGTTACTGCTAGATGTTATGCAGTTCATCAACGGAGTTTTTTACTTATGAGTTTCAATTAGTAAAGAGCCAGAATTAGAATTCTTAACTTGATTATATAAGATTATATCAAGCCCTTTTGAATCATCCAATTTTCTCCGTGTTTTTTAATATTCCCATTTTGTGCACTCTCCTTTTTACTCTTTTTTATTTTTGTGAACTCCCAATTTTGCATTTGTTTAATATAATTTAAAAATTCGTAATATGAAATGTTTTTCTGCTTTGTAGTTTTTTACTTATAGGCCTTTGTTTGCAAAAAGAATTTTTGACTTAAATGATATAAGATTATAATACGCATTTCAGAGCAATCTATAATTGTCAATGATTTTCTACTACTTACATTTTTATGTGCAATTGCTAGATTTTGAATAAATTTTGGACAATATAATTATGTGTAATGTGAAGAAAATTAAAAAAATCTACCGAGTTGTTTTTTACTTGTCGGATTTTGTTTTCAAAATACATGGATATAGGAAATTAATTATATATATAATATTTTTTCGCATTTTTGAGTCACCCAAGATTCTCTCAATGATTTTCTGCCATTTGTTTCTTTGTGGACAATACGGATTTTAAACATATATTAAACAAGATAAATATGTGTCTTCAGTAGAAGTTTACAATGTCGTTAGAATTATACGGATTTATACAGTGTAGTTCAAGATAAACTAGCAGTTTTTTACTTATAAGCCTTGGTTAGCTAAAGAATCAGAATTCTTAATTATATCACGCATTTCTGAGGCGACCAACTTTGTCGATGATTTTCTATTATTTTTGGGGCACTCTCAAGATTTTGGAAATGTTTTAGACAATACAAATATCTATAATGTGACTAAATTTAAGAAATCGAACCGTGTAATTTTTAAATTCATAGCTGAATAAGATAAATGAAAAGCACAATAAAAATTAAAGCTTAAAGTATTCTTAATTTCGTGACCACTACAATTTTTGTGATGCTTCTCGACAGTAACAAAGTCATAAACAGTTATTTGTGAAATAATGTTTAAAAATATAACATAAACAAATTATTTTTTTGTTGTATTTGATTTTAAACGTGTTTTATAGAGGATTATTTACTTTATAATTTTGAATGATAAATTTTAGCCGAATGTCGTGATGAGTGCTGTGATGAATGTTGTGCTGAGTTTGTGATGACTGGTGTCCTCAGCAGTGGCGTGCGGTCATGCAAGCGTAGGCAAGCGCCGCTTGCCTAAACATTTTACCGAACAAAAATTTTTTGGATCAATCTCTGAGCAAAATCAGTTTAAATTTTCTGTTCTAAACAATGTCAATGTAATCTTTTGTCTAAATTGTCTTTACATTTGAAATGCTTGCTATTTATACGCGATTTACTGTCGTGGTTTTCGGTTTCACTTTGCTACACTTGTAAGATGAGTCAAGTGGATTAAATACACGTTAAAAATTTCTTATTTATTAACCAAGGCAAGCGCGCTTGCCTTCGGAGCTCAATTTGAACATTTGCGCATGCGTTAATCTAGATTTGGAGGCTTCTTATTCGAGGAATATCGAGAAAAGGCAAGCGGCGCTTCTAAGGGCGCCGCTTGATAGCGATTGGTCAAAACACATATCAGCGCACGAATAATATTCGTATATACAACACATTGGACATCCGAATTATTCACGCCATTAATGTTATCGTTTATTAAAAGATGACTGAGAGCGAAAGGTAATGTTCTGATTTCTAATTCAAAGTAGTAGGTGCTTTACTGGTTATTTTATTATTTTCTGCGCACAATGTGCGTAAACAAGCAGGGGCCGCAGTCTGCAGAGATATCGAAATGCACGCAAACGTGTGTTGTGGTAAAGTATGACTAGCATTATGACCAAAACATTATGCTCTTGTCAGTCTTGTGTCGTTGAATTCGTAAATTAATGACTAAAAATAAAAGGTACAAGATACTAAATAATAAACACGACTCTCCGATATTCTGAAACGTACGAGTCAGTGCCAGACACATTTTGAAGAACGGGAGAACACGTTGCCATGACGTCATTATACCAAAATATAAACATTAAACAACGCCATGGCCTCAGTTTGTAACACACCGTGCCAATTTTGTTCGCGAAGCTGGCTGTTCTTAATTGTTATAATCACGACTGCTACAATACATTTCGCGCCTATTGTCTTGCAATTTATTTATGTAGAAGATATTATCTGTAGCATGTAATACAAGATTATGATATTGACAAGAGCTTCCTTTTGCGTAGTAGTTTTGATATTTGTATCCGGTAGATATCATGTAACTGATGTAAGGTATAAATAAGATTGATGTTCCTATAAAATATATAGCATAGGAATTTTCATCCTTTTATGTTCTACTTCTACATTCGGTATTTCCGCGAACCTCACCCCCAGCGCTTGCCTATTAAATTCGGTCACCGCACGCCACTGGTCCTCAGTATGTTTCGCAGTATGGTACCAAATATACAGTAGTGAAATGACTATCCCTTAAAGCTATGACAGCATACAAAATTTCAAATTTAATGCAGAGTTTAAAGCATTGTTGTGTTATGTGACACAATGGTAATCCGTCTCTGAAGGCTCAATTGTGCAATGAATATTAAGACGCCTCGTACCGGAGAACTTAAATATCAAGGAATATTTTATTAATGGGTTGCATTTAAAAGTTTTACGTAATGAAATGATTGAAAACATGAAAAAAATTTCTAAGCTTTATGTAATAGGATAATGTTGTCGTTTGATCAATAAATGAATACATATATTGTTAAAAAGCTAAAGTAAATTTCATTGTTTTTGAAAAATAAAATAAAATGCCCCTTTGTCATTTGCATATCTTGGCTCAAAATATTTAGAAATAGGTTTCCACTTTCCTTGTTTTGTTAGCTCGTCTAGCTTCCGATGAAATCCATAGCCAGGGTCGTCGAGTACAAATTCATTAATTGTAAAGAATATTAGGCCTCCTTGTTTTACAGAATGAATAAAATCATCCATTCCTTTCCCTTTTACATGACCAGGACCAAAAACACCAACACATATAACTGCATCGTACTGGCCAGCGGTAACTCCCAGCTCAACTGATCCATTGGTTCCCATGACTCCCTTTTTTAGCGATCTGTACTTTGAGAAAGTATAAATTATTAAAGAGTGAAATGGATAAATATCTTTAATGATAATCACAAGAATTCGTTAAATATAAAAAACTGACTGATTTTTTATAATTTTTCAAAACTTTGGCATTAAAATAAAGGATCAACTCTAATTTTGGCTTTTGTTGTTAATTGTAGGATCATAGAAGAAAACACAATATCGTTATGCTTACGATTGAAATGAAAGGCATGTAAATTTTATTGAATATTTTTTATAATAAAAACTTAGCGATTAATAATTACTTCATTTTTCCATGCTTGTACTAAAAATTATATAATATTTTATGTGATTCAACCAAACATCCTTTTCATTGATAAATCGCGTATTTTCTTATTTAGCTACCTTATAAAAACTATCAATTATGAACATTTCATGTTAAATGTCGATTTGAATGCTGTTTCTACAAAAAGCCAAAATTCAAGTAATACTTAGATTAAGTTTCAACCTGTAAACTCCTTTTGCTTCAGAAAGCTTCAACATTTCTTCACTAATATCAATACCATCTACATTTTTATATCCCAGCTTGTAAAGATGTTCACCAACGAGTCCTGTGCCACAACCAAGATCCAGAATTTTAATGCCCTGATTGTAGTTGTGTTTAATCAGTGTCTCGTGAAGCTGTTCTGCTGCAACTACTGGTCCTTGATAACTAATATCATCAGCAACCTGAAATAGTATTGTGACTATTTAATCTAGTTTTATTTTTCCAATTATATGCTAAGGTAGTTGCCCATTCTTTACTTTTAAACTGAAAGTTCGTTTTGTTTTATTATTTCATTTCAAATAATAAAAACAGCAATTTCTTGTGATGAACGGTTGTTTAACCTCATTGCAGGAGTTTGCATGCTAAACAAATTTCAACATTCATCATGTCATAGCTGCAGCCAGAGTTTCCTGCAAAAGACTGATCTCTATATAAATCTTTGATAAATGTCGTTTACCAAATTCTTACAAACTTTAATGATTTGAAAGTGAGTAATGCATTTTAAAGTTTACACTATTTTCTTTCTGAAGTACTTATGCTGCTGTTTATCCAAAAAGTAGATACGGAAACCATACATGTGTGTATCCTTTAAAGTACATGATCATCAAATAAAGTAGACAAATAAAAATATTTAAGATAGCATTAAGCATTTAATAAATTTAAATGACAGTTGTTGACATCAGGAAAATGTACTTAGTGCTCCCTATTCAGTCAAAAAAACCTGTACGCTGTGCATAATTTTATTTTTTGCCTAACTTTCAATTTTTGACATGCACCATGCGCTAGCTTACTGTCACTTTATGATCGTGCTACACATTCTATGTAAGAATACGGTAAACCTTTTAGCACAAAGCACGAATAAGCAATGAAAAAGCTAAATATGACCAAAATACAACAGTTTGAATAATTAGACGACTATCAATTTTGATGCAAAGCATTTACTTGTGTTTAAACTAATCATAACCAAAACTTCAGCTTGTTTTTGCCTTCTTCAACTGTTTTGTCTAAATAGTGGTTTATTTTTATTAAAAACCATTTGATATGTTAAAATTATTCTTTTTCTTTGTCTTCTTCGTCTTCTTTGCCTCTAATAACGTCTTGTTTGAGCACTTTTCATCACATAATTTTTTCATCTTTTATATATACCCTCCTGTACTCTTTACAAGAGTTCTAACTTTGCATTTTAAAATCTTTTTCTTTTTTTCTTTTGTCTGCAAAAACCTATTCTTACCTCACCCTTTTGCCTTATTCACTTTTCTAAATTCTCTTTCATTCTTCTAATTTTTAAACTGTCGGCCTTATGTCCAGAAATGACTGTTAAAAGAGCTTTATTCTGTTTTCAGTTATTTTCAACTTTAAACGTTTCTGTCCCTCAGATACCAATCTGTTTTTATTAAGTTAGTCATTGCCATAATTTTCTCAAATTTTTGAAATTTGAAATCGTCTTTTCATTCACTACCGAGAAATAATATGATTTCAGTAGTTTACCCAGAAAATCACATAAATCAATTAAATTAGGGCTAGATCAGACATTTTGCTGCAACAAAAAGTGTAACAAGTTGTTCTGATTGCAATAAAAATAATTTTTATGATAAAGTATTTCGCGCAACTTGAGCATTACCATGAAATTAAAAAAAAATTTGTGAAAAAAGGCATACGCAGCTTATCGAAACATTAATGAATTTCATTGTCTTATATGTTACCTTTGATCTAAATTATATTTTGCGTAGTTTGATTGTTTACGATCAGATTTCTTTGATTTTTGATGTAGTTTCATTGTTTACGATCACGCCAAGATTATACTTTTAGCCACCTTTTATTCTACAATATATAGACGACTATTTTTTGTGTTAACTAGCAAGGACAAATCTAGGGTATGTCAAAAGTGTAATGGGACTCACGTATGTTTTACTGAAAAAATTGTTAGTTCATTATGAATACTAAGGTTAACCAAATAATTAGTAATTACCTATTTTCTTTTTTGCAAAGTGCAAATCTCTGTTGTGCTTTTATCCAAAGTTATAATTTCAAAGCCATTTTGACTTACGGAGGCAACAGTTAAACGCACAAGGGTCGCACCATCTGGTGACTATATCCATTTATTTGATTCGCTAAGGCGTAAGCGTAAAGCTATATCAATATATTTCACTGGCTGAAAAGGTATGTTGAGTGAGTCGTAGAGTTAGTCGAACAACCAGCATTCGAACTTGTTATATAACAAGATAATAAGAGTAGGGATTTGTATAAATGTATCAAAAAAAAGAAAATGCTCAATCCGATGCTACCTCTATTAGTTGCATTATGCCGGAATGTTTCTGTCACTCTATGCATTTACTATAGAAAGCTTAAAAAATTCGATTGCAAACCAAAGCATGCATCTTTTAATAAATTTGATGCCCTTTATAGAGAAAATTTTTAAGATTTATCTTGAGATCTATAATCTGATTATAAAAGTTTTTCGATCTTAAAACAATTATATTTTCCCTCCCTTAAATGATCAGAACAAAATAGCTTTTAATCATGCGTAATTTATGCTTTTTATTCACGTTGTTATTACCCTTTAGAGGTTAGTACATTTTCAGATTATTTGAATATATCTTAAGTTGAAGACGAAACGTAATTATTGAAAAACCTTTTATTTTTTTTTGTTTTATTATTGTGATAGCCTTCTTAAAAGTCGTATGTTGGGCTATTATGTTCATATTGAAAAAACCATGCTATTACTTGTGCAAACTGGTAGCTACTTGCTGCAATGTTTCCGATGAGTAAAAAATGAACGATTTCGTTAATTTTTAAAATTTTACGGTTGATATATTTCATTTCAAAATATGTATTCAATAGTAAGCATCATAATTGACCGAATAAATATCAAACCATCAACTTAAAAGCCAAAATACTTTGCTACGTTTATTGACTTTATCTTTTAAACATAATCAAAAAACACTTTGGTGAAAAAGTGTTTTATCAACAAATCTCGAGTAACGTGTAGCTTCGCACGTGGGATACACGTAGTTTGACCTCCAGACACACGAGATCTTTCAAAAATTATTTAACTTTTTAATACAGGTAGTTGGCCATCTATATAGTTCAGTGACAGAGCCTCGAACACTTTGCTTGCCGAACACTTTACTGTGCAAATGATCTCGTAATATATATGTTTAAATATGCCTTGCTCACAAAAGAATTCGAAGGATAAACGATGGAGTTTTAACTTTGAAGAAATAAATTTGCATTATATGAAATTGAATTTAAAAAAAGAAATTAGTAAAGGAAACAAGCTCTGTCAAAAGGCCGTATTATCTTTTAAACTGAAACCAAATAAGATAAAATCAAAAATTTTTCACTTTTAAAATGTTTACATCAGTTGAACATCTGCTAAAAGAGCTGAGCTGCTGTAGATGCATCAGACGCCCCTATTTTGGCGTCTTAAGCGTGAATATCATAGGATTGACATCATTTCCGCAAGGCAACTTAAAGATCATCATACTAGTATTGAAATTCATGCGCAACAAAACAGTGAAATAAATATGTGCCTAAATTTCCGAGCATCTGATTGTACATACGGCATAGTTTCTTTCTTTAAAGAAAGAACAAAGATATCATTTTATCTTAATAATAGAACAATTTTGCTGTGTTTTTTTTTTGTTTTTATTCATACTCGGACCTGTTGAAAAGGACTGGCGATAGCTAAGTTTATTTGATTTTGAAAATAAACGTCGAAAAAATGCATTTTTGCTGCCATGAGAAATTTTTCCATCGAAAAAACTCATTTTTCTATAGTTTATAGTTAATGACGTCAACAACCCTCGTTTTTATATTGGTTATATTTGTTTTACAGGTAAAGTTAATGCTTTGTACAAAGTTTTAGTCTTTCTAGAAGTAATTTAACTCATAAATGGCTGATAATGATAAATTTTGAGGTCTACAATCGCCAGCTAAAATTAATGCATTGTTCACCTCAAAACCTTCATGGCGGCGATCATAAGTGGCTTCAAAGATGGCTACCAAGTTATCGTTCCAGTGTGTCATTGTGATAACAATTCACTTGTGTTATTAAATTTTTTATGCAAATAAAATGATTGTTTTGAGGCATTTGAATAAAACGCTTCATAACGAATTTCTTTTTAGATAGTAAACAGATTACTTCATACTTAATTCGTTTGTACTTTGTAGGATCTTTATTCCGAATTGGTTTAGAAAGATCGAAAACAAGTCACTCGCTTCCCTCACTGGTTTGTTTTCAATCCTTCTTGTGCATAAGAGATGTGTGCACACACTAAACACACCAATTCCGTCTTCTCTTTTAGGCACTGTTGATAAAAGAAGCGCTTTACACTGATAAATTTTAAGCAGAGCACAATCTCAAACTCTCTGTACAAAAATACGTTATAACATTTGCTATTGGTTTATTTTCATTGATATTCTTATCATAGTATTTCATTCAACCTAAAATTTCTTTTTGTTTTCATAGTACTCGATGAGTCAGCCAAGTAGCTACGATAGTCGTTTTTTGATGGAACGCTACACCAAAGCATTAAAAGTATAGTTTCATAAGTCTAATTTATGCAAGCTTAGCTTTGTACGTAACCATTAAAATACTTTTTTTATATATTTTGCAAAACATTCCAGGCATTACCTTTTCATAAGTGGCAGCCCATTTTGAGTAAAGATTAACCACATCTTGTTGGGGTGTGTTTGAAGTAAATTGTTTCAGACGTGTGTAGCATTCATCTTCATTTGGATCCATTAAAATACGGTTATTAACAATTTCTGCAAATGTGTAGGAGTGCTACGAGTGTAGTTTATGTAATATGCTATATGTCAACACTTCCTTACGAATACATGAACAATGCGACCTTTTTGTACCTGCAAGCACGTGTACAGGGCAATCGTGTGAATAAATTCAAAACACAAAATAATTATGTTTCTATTGCAATTTAATTAATGTTTTCATTTGCATGCATGACAATTGTTGCAATGTATTAAATTAAAATTGCAGCTGCGTTGTCATTTATTAAATCACAAAGGGTTCCAGAAAGAGTTAGCGGTGCTGCTTACTGTCGTCATGAGGCAGTATTTTTGCCATGAGTACGAGGCATTGTTTTTCTCGCAAGACCTTTTTTCTAAGACTTTGCCATCCGTTCGCCTACTAATAAAAAATAATCCAAAAAAATATATTACCAGTTGCGCTATAGAACGTTAAAGTATTCAGAATAACGAATCATATGACACAAAGGTTGCAAAATATTGAGTAATTATGTTGAAGCAATAAATAAAAATTTGAAGCAATAACCGCATATGTGATGTGGCTTCATATGATTGAGCTACTTGTAATGTTTTGGAACTGTCCAATCGTGCGTTAATTGCATATTAATTTGTGCTCTCATTGCCTGAAAATCGTTAATCTGTTATATTGTCACCAAAATTTCCTTAGTCCAAATAAATTTCAATTCATTTATAGCGGACAAATTGTTTTAACTTATCTTCCATGCTTGAAAACTTCAAACATGAAAATATATTGAACTTGTTTACTTTTGAAACAAATTTCTTCTGACAACTAGGGTCGAAGCTAGAATGCTTATTGTGGGTGGAGGGGTGTATATTCATATATTCCGCTTGACCAACTAAATTCGTGTCAAATTAATATCGCTTTAAAAAGAAATCAGTCAGGCAATGCTGAATATATGAATAATCACCCCTCCAACTAGCGTTCTAGCTTCGCCCCTGCTGAAAACACAGCATATTTCAACTTATGTTGACGTTTTGTAATCAAAAACTTATCCTTACTAGATAATTGAAAAGATACAACTGGACAACTTAGTCAGGATGTATATTGTCCAACAATATTTTTCATTACAAAAAATAAATGGAAGCTAGAACGTCGTTCAACGTCAAATTGAATTGTATAAATTGCCACCCAGCTTCGTCATACACTATGCTCATCCGATAAACGGAATTGGTTTAATCTCAGTTTAACAGCCTAATTTTATTGAACTAAACAGAATAAACACGTAATTATATTTAGGGCTCCAGTCACAATGAATAACATGTTGCCATAAGGACCAGCTATATTTAAGAAAAATCCATAATATTTTGAATTGTTCTTGTAGATGGTTTTTCTTATCTGCGCTCCTAGAAACAGCTAAATTAATTAAAGAAATTTGTAAGAGAGTATAAAGTTAGAAACACAGAACAATAATGTGTAAAAAATTCTTGTGCCTTATATACCAAAACGACGATTTATTATTTCATTAAAATACCTGATATCTCTGTCTTCTATAGCTATAAAGGGCACAGTGATCATCTCCTTCAATTTTTGTAAGCATTGCTTTGGCTGTATCGAGTTGCATACTTAGTTTTTGATGTTTTATGGCTTACACTGGCAAATTATAGCTTTACGGAATAAAGTGATCATAAACCAGGACAAGCAGACAATTTCAAGTAATACAAAATAAAATAAATACCGAAAAGGGACATCTCGTCTTATGATGTCTTTGGAATAAAGACGAAATATTACACCAACTTATGTTTCAAACTCTTGTATTATCTTGAATATATAGAAAACGAGATGTCCCTTGTCTGAATTTTTTTTATTTTGTACTAAGTGATCAGAATGTCAAAGAATTCCATAATTTGTGCAATTTGTTTTGAGTAAATGTGTCATGCATCATAGCGATAAAAACCACATGCAGCCTTGACATCATTAAAGTTATGAAAACTTTTATATTTTTTTGACTACGTCTATAAAATATTGTGTGACTCTGAACAGATGAACACAAAAAAATATTTTTTGATTGTGAATACATGTGTCAACCTTTTTTCAGTTTGTCAGTTTGCATAAGATCACACGGACGGATCTAGTGTATGTCAAAAAAATCATGCGACTTAGGTATAGTTTCCTAAAAAAATAATTATTCTATTTTAAACAATGAGGTCACCAAAATAGTAAGTAATTACGTATTTTCTTTTTTACAAAGTGCGAGTTGCAGTGTAGTTTTTATTTAAAGTAATAATTTGAATAGCATTTTTTACAAATGCGGCACTCATGGGCGTAGGAGGATCGATCATGGGGGGGCTCATTTTCATATGCTCATGACATAATGACTTCAGTTCTTTCAAAATTTGTTGTTTTCAAAAGATTATAACATGAATATATGAATATGAGCCCCCCTCCCCAATTATCAATCTTCCTACGCCTTTGCCAGCACTTAAGTGCTCAAATTTCGCACCATCTTGTGACTATTGAGCAATTATTGGATGAGGTTGAGCATGATATCAAGAATTATTCAGACCGATGTCAACGTTATCTGCAGAAGCGAAGCTGAGAGGGTTCGTCCAATTGAGGCCAGTTTCAAACGTCAAACTTTAAATGCACCGAACGCAATAAAGACAAAAGAAAACAAATAGAGCTTCCTCATTATCTTTTATTTTAAATGCGTTTGGTTCATGTAAACTTCGATATTTAAACTAGGCCTAAGGGCCTCTTCATATGAGCCAAGTAGCCGAGATTCAGCGAAGCGTTTAATCATTTTAGACAATGGAAAAGATTAATTCCTTCACAACAAAAAAGTTATTTAAGCTATTTCGCTACGTTCTAAACTTGCAAATTCACAAAACCTTTAAAATGAAAACAAATAATTTGGCCAGATTTGAAAATTACAACTAAAATGACTCATGACTTATAAGAAAGATTGTAAGTTTTGCGTTTAAAGTTTTTACTGCTTTCAATATCTCAAAATCACTTCACGCCTCGCTGAATCCCGGTTAGCTGGGCTCATGTGAACAGGCCCTAAGAGTCATTCTGTTACATGATAGCAACTACCATCATGTAGTATCATTTATAAAGTATTATTACATCATACTATAATTTTATATTTTTATATTTTAACTTTAATATCCATTTTGAAATTTCATTACTAATTAGGAAATAATCTAGAAGCTGGCCTGCATGCGCTAGAAGCTTGCTTACAGGCGTAAACACATATTTTGGAACCACAACAACAATTGTTGTTATGGCGGTTAACTAAATCTTGCTGTAACCTACTGTATTACGCATGCGATGTAGGTCGCTAAACCACAATACTTAACACTATATATTATATACATATATATGAGTACTTTACACAATTGAGCACAACCTACGAGCACATCCTACGAAGAGACAAACCTAGGAGGCATAGCGTAACGAGGTTGGTTCCAATCTATAATCTACTCAACGACTATCTTGGCTTTTGTGCCATTACTATCTTTGGCTTCTATGCCTTTAATTTATTTGGAAAACTATTGTCGTGAGTCATTGTTGGACTCACGAACGCTCAACAATAAAGATTCGCGGTTGTACTCGGACATAGTAATAATAAAAGTTTTATTCATACTTGTTAATATTATAATTAACATACTTATCTACTTTAATAATTAATCGTTGATAAATAAATTGTTTTAGAAATATAACTGGTTCACACTATCTTTGTTTCGTGTGGAAATAGAACCAAAATTAACAGTTGTTCTTTCAAGACCACGCACGTAACACATACATATTGTATTTTATTAGAAAATATTTGTTTGGGGTTCAGTGGACTATAATTTTGTACAACAGTCGCACTGTTCTACAAATGATATTCTTGAAAGCATTAAAAGGGAAATTTTGGAATGAAAACAGAGTTATACTGCGAATATTAAAATCGTCTTTGCGTAAATGGTATATTCAGTGAGTCGTTAAGTTAGTCAAATGAGAACGTTGTCGATTCTTTGTTATATAACCAGAAAAACATTAAGTAAAGATTTGTCTGCTGATGTATAAATACCCTTGAATGATTAACAAGCTTTAGCAAAGACTAAGAGTCAGTGAAAGACAGTCGTGATTGAATTTTTGCTGGAGATTTTTCGAATGTGTGTAACTGATTTAATGTACTTGCTCATTAGATCTTTCGGGGAATCACCCTAATAGCTCTCTGTCACTAATATACAATGTTGATAACTGTCTGCTAAACATACTGAAATACTGGAGCGGCTAACTTCTTTAGAGTTATTTGAAACTGTTCAACTGTTCGTAAAAACCATATTGAAAATTTAAATCACAGTGTTTTTAATCTTTGTCTAAATCCATATTAAAGGAGTGCTTATATTCAGGTTTCACTAGATAGAAATAGTAATAGTTTCAAGACAAGAAGTAGTAATAATTTCTTGGAATTTTAGGTTTGTCTTCTGCCATTAAAAGATAAATTCACTCATGCTATCTTAACCAGGAGAAGCTCAGATTATAATGCATTCTTTGAGCCCCTTAATCTACCCAAAAACGCACTGATCATGTGCGCATCTTATACAGTTATAAAGGATACACCTAAAAGAAGTCTAACATTTCAACATAACCATTTTTCATCTCTAATTGTTTTGTTATTAGCGTAAGAGAAAATATTCAAATTGTAGAATCTTACCTCACACATTTCTCTCAGACAAAAAATTTCAAATGAGTTAGGTACTATTCACAATATTTTTTGAAGGAAGAAACAAAGGTTATGACTTCTACAAAAGCAGCATCCAGAGTCTAGAGAGGTAAATACGCTTGAATAAAGCATTCTGATTTGCTATAAAGCTGTAGTTCTCGTGCTGTTGGACTTAAGTATATTTGAGGAATTTGCAGTACACTACGTTGAGCATTTCATTGCATGGCACAGTGCTTAAGCTGCCTTTTAGCATCAAGAGACTAGTCAGCACAGAGACCGCAGATCATCTGTAACTGCGGGCGGCTTCATATATGTATAACATGCTGTGTCAGGCTCCTTTGAAATTCATTGTTTTCACAAATTGTAGCATGCATTTATGATTATGAG